GTTATTTGGGCTATAACTTTGATACCAGCGTTAAAATATATTCATTCACTATTTAAAAACAGTTTATGATCCAAACATGTTTTCCCATGATAAGCATTGGTGCATAAAATGAACCAGAGGCGCCTTTAAAGCATAAACAAAAAAAAAATAAAATAAAATACATGTCAGAAGCAGAACTTTTAAGCTTTGCTAGCAAGAATCTGCACAGTAAATATCTGTGCAGGAGAACATAAATGTCTGAACCTTATACAATCCAGGCTGCAGCCAAAGTCGGAGCAAACCAACCAGCAATCAGACTGGAGCGGCGCTGTGCTGCATGCTAATGGCTCCATGCAGCAGACAGAAATACTGCATGTTCAACAGACATGAGGCGTCGCAGTTTAATTACATTTAACTCTGGATTTCTGCTCACATGTCAGATGCGTGAACGTTTTACCACCGACTCAGCGTTTGGAGAAAATGTAACGTTCCCAGTCCGGAGGTTAGCATAAACCAGATTTATGAGTGATAATTATATGACATCATGTAAAAAAATAAAATTAAATGTTTACAGGATTACTTCAGGTTTTACTCACAACTCAGGAAAAAAAACAGAGACTCTGAACCAAATGCAGCTTTTTAATTACTTTCATGTAATTTAACTAAATTTGATTTGTTTATGTTTAACATGACAACTTTAATAAATATCTGGATAAATGTAATTTCATTATTTGTAACAAATTAACTATTTTTTTTAAGTTGGATCACCTGTTCTCTTTTTTCAGTGTTTTTAAAGATTTGATAACAAAAGCAATTTTAGCAGTTTTTTTTTTAGTTCTTTTCATAGAATAATTGTTGTGTATATCCACTGAATTAGATTAAAAATGTCAATATTATTAATTTGGAACTGGACTTTTTTCATCCCTGTAATTTTTTTACAAATGTAAACATCCCATAAAAGTGCTAGTTACATTTAACCAAGTCAAGAAAGAATAAAAACTGATTCAGATGCAGCAAAGTCGATGAAAATGTTTCACCTTTTGTTAAAGCTTGGTTAAAAAAGACAGACTTTATAGGAAAATAATGTTCAATTATTTTACTCTGCTTACAAATTAAAACTTTCCATCTGCGTCTGTAGATCTAATTTGAACTGTAGTTGGCACAAAATCAATCCAAATGCCACAAGTGGCTCCTGGGCCACTTTGGACATAAAAGAACTTTTCATCAAAAAAGACAATACATTTTCAGACTAGCAGCAAAAACCCTCCAGAAAAAACACTGAAATTTCTGAGCTCAAAAAGTCGTAGACGTGCAAGAAACAAATCTCAGAAATGTTTCAATTAATTTCACATATTTTCTTGAAAACTTCGAAAAAAACTGAGCAAAGAAACAAACAAAGAAACAAAACTTTTCAAACTCAGAAAATTTCCAAAAGTCAAAGATTTTTGACTTCATGAGCTCAGAAAATTTCCACATTTACTTCAGGAAATGTCTGAGATTAATCTCAAAATGTTTTTTCTTTGCAAATGTTTGACTTTGAACTCAGAAATTTACAAGTGAAATTTATCACAAAATTCTGAGATTTTCTTGCACATCTACAACTTTTCAAGCACAAACATTTCAATGTGTTTCCTAGAAACTGATCTCTCTAGGTGTTTCCCTTTCTTCCCGTCTCTTTCACAGAAGATGAGTCGGGCAGAATAATCGGTCCGATCCGAGTCCCAGATGCTCGCTGCGCCTTGGCCAGCTCAGATTGTGCGTCTGCTGGGGTCGGCAGACAGAAACAGAGGGATGTTGTTTGAAAACAGCTGCAGTCTTGGAGTGTGTTGTTAATTTGATTGCAGACTCAGCGGACGACTTGGACGCCAGGTGCAGACGGCAGATGGTGTTGCTGCTGCAGGCAGATTTCTCTGTTAAACTTTTAAACAAGTTTGGTCGCAGTCAGAGGAGCGAAACAAAAACAAGCTCATAAAGCGCTGTGATGAATGTTACGGAGAGTGTCTCATCTAAATCAGTCCCACTCTGGAAAGAAGCCACAGAAATTCCTACTAGTCAGACTCACTGATTAGCTCACAAGTACAAAAAAATCTCTTTTTTAAAAACTAAAATCAGCAAAATGTTGTGTTTTTATTCCCTACTCAACAGTAAACTAAGCATGAACTTTTTTCATTAAACAAATGGTACAACATGTTCATAGATATGTTATTAACTCATCTCTAAACACTGTATAAATCAATAATAACTGTTTATTATGTGTTAATTAAGGGTGAAAAAGTGAAAATCTACCAGCTTCTTGCCAAATAGTGAGTCAGATCTGTTCACCATTTTATCTACGGTTGTTATACTAAACATTTCAGATCACCTGGTAAACAGAATAAGCATTCAGATAACATCTGTAAACTATTTATTACCCAAACAGATAAAGAAATACTTATTTTATAGACACGGGATCATAAATAAGAAACTTCAAATTGTTTCCTTATTAAATAATAGACATATAGTTTACTTATTATTGAAGAAAACTGGAAAAAACAAAAACAATCTATTCTCAGCAATAAAAACAATATCTCGGTCAGACTTCGTTTGAGAAGATTTCCTGCATTCAGTCAAGTTTTAATACAGCAAATAAAAGCAGATTTGGTTGCACCAGGATGGTCCTAGTTGCCATGACAACAGAAGGAAGCCAGAAAGCTCGGAAAATAGGATCGCCTTGTGTTGCATCAAACGTTCTTGTAAGTAGATTTTAACTTAAAGTCCTAGTTTTGTAGGAAGTCATTAGATTTATTCATGAATTTTGGTCAGGGGGATTCTCAAAAATCATTACAGGGGCCACAAATGGCCCTGGGGCCTCACTTTGACCACCATTAAAGGGACCCTATTGTGATAAATTTACACTTGGCACATTTTTGTGTTTCCATTTGGGTCTCAACTGATTCTAAAAACAGACCAAGCACTTAAAAAAAACAACAAACAAACACCCAGCCGCTTTGTTGGCAATAAGTTTATGATTTTTGGAGTCTGGAAAATGTGCCGAGTCCAAAACTTCAACAGACACTTTGTTGTTACCTAGCAACCCCAGCAGAGTTCTGCCCCGTCACCTAGCAACCAAAGCTGAGCTCCAGCATGTTCCGTCAGCTTATTTTACTGTTGCATAATGGCTGCTGGAAAAGACAAGTGTTTTGATTTTGATTTATCATCTAGAAACTACTTGCTCGCAGGAGGGTTCAGTTCATCCTTACCTGTTCAAGGAAGCACAACAGGTCATCTTTACAATGAAGCACATAACTCATCATAATTCTGCTGTGTGACGTTTCTCCTGAGTGTCCTCCAGTAGATGGGTTGTGCTTTCAGTATTTTAGATCCATTAGCAGAACCTCTGGAGGTTCTGTTCATCAGCAAACATACAGAATGTCCTCTGTTTTCCTTCAGGGCGCTCAGCCCTGGACAGCGATGCTGACATTTACCGTCGCCCCGGTGGCAGCGGGTCCAGGGCTGCTGCTCAAAACGATGACATATCGGACACAAAAGGGACAACAATGTGCAGGAGGCTGCAGCTAGCCGGACTGGCAGCTACATTTACTCTGACTCCAAACACCTGGAGGCACATAAAGGTGAAAGTGTTTCCTGGTTCGTAATTAACTGTGGACCTTTTAGGAAACCCAATGACAGAACTTAAACACGTTTTATCTATGGCTCGCTGACAGGCACTTTATCAGCTCGCAAAGCACTTCATTAGCTCCACTGTTAGCTGGACTGCTGATAGTGGAGCTAATTTTTTGTTCAGCTCTTTAGCATTTTTTCTAACTTTGAATACATTTAGTGCACTTAGCTTCTCCTAAATTTCTAAAGTTGTAATTTTTTGACTGTTTTGTAAAATTTCAGTTGAGTAAAATTCAGCATCTGTGTTGAAGTTTTGGTCATCAACTCTTCAAGTAGATAGATGTTCATATTCATGCAATTCTGGTGTAGCACTTTAGCGCCAGCAGAACTACTGTTTATGATTAGCGTACAGCTAATTTTTTAGCTAGCCGTGTTCACCACTGGTGAAGCTCAAACTGTCAGAGAAGAAATCCCTCAGGAACAAAACACAAGAATAAAATATATTCTTGCGATAAATTAAATGTGTGGTTTTAAAGGTGATAGACTGGAAGCTTAACAATATTTAAAGAAATTCCTGATGAGCATTTAGATTTTTAACAAAACTGAAGAGAGGGAGTGAAATTATTCAGGGTGCTGGCGCTGACGTGGCAACGTGATTCACTTTGTGTAGACGAGTAAACTCACAAGGACAGGCAGTAATTGGCCTGCCAGGGCTTCACTTTCTATGATTTAAGGTGGACCGTCGATGCGGCGCACATTCCTCTGCTGCGACACTTTGAGGAAAATAAATAACGCCGCTCCTGCTTCTGTAATAAAATCAGAGCTACATGAAGTTTATCCATGATATAAAGAACAAAAACACCCTTCGCATCACACGACAGTGGAGGAAAAAATAGAAAAGCTGTCTGTGTCATGGCTGCAAACAGCAATTTGTATAAATGAAAACTGTATATTAACTGTATATTCACAGCACAGCTTGGGTTACACCACCTTCTATAAATATATTTGATTAATTATATTCCATTTCTGTTCTAGTTTTACCTTGTTCTTTGGCAGTATTGTGTATTTTTTACTTGTATGGAAAAATTAAAAATTGATTAATCATTGTCAGATTAAAAGTACATGACAATTGCATTTCCGTTTCAAAAATGTGTTTTTTATGTTTTGATGTAATAACTATAAATGTCATGTTTTCATAAATGGAAAATCATCAGTTAAAAATAAAATCTTTCAAACATCTCTATGTGCAGTGAATCTATATAATGTGCTTCTTAGAGATAAAGTCCCTGAAACAAATTGACTTATCAGTTATATTCCAGCGTAACTGATAAGTCAATTTATTATATGCATTTATTTATTTGGTTTTACTTCACTTTGAATGAAGAACATGACTCTTTATGCTTTTGTATGAATTGGATGCTGTTCCCCCACTTAAGGGCGCCACTGCCTTTTAGAATATTTTTAGTCCTGTTAGATAATTTCTATTAAACTGTAAAATATGTCATGAACAGGATAAAAATATCCAGTTATTGCTGCTTCTTCCCAGCGTTTGCATGTCTTTAGTAAAATCTGCGTTTCTTTGTGAATCTCTGGACACTTTCCTGCTGGTGTGACCGACAGGAGCCGCTTCTGTCATCTGGTGCCAAACGCAACAGATGTAAACGCACACACACACACACACACACACACACACACACACACACACCTGTAATCCATGCTAACCGTACTGTAGGCTGCACACACACTTTTACTGGACGTATGCGTTTCCACACACAGGTTGTTAGTTCGTACGCCAGTCACGAAGCCGGAGCAGACGGCGGAGGTTGGCAGCAGAACCGTCGGGTTCTGTGTGATTTGGACCTGAAGGCCATGAGGGGGGCAGTCATGGAACAAAGTTACACAACAAAGCAAAATAAAGGACTGCACTCTTTTAATAGATGTTAAAACTTTGTTTTATATGATTTGGTTTTGTTTTTGTCAAATTTAAATATTTAAGATCCTCAAACAGAGACAATTTGTACGATTTAGGGCCAAAATGGAGGACATTTCTGCCAGAATATTCAGAAATTTTCTACAAAACACTTGGAAATTTTTGAGTTTCAATAGTCAGAAATTTCCTCTGAAATGTCATTGTTTCTATAACATTTCTGAGATTAATCTCAACATTTCTGTTTTTTTAATAGCAAACTTTTGACTTTTTAAGATCTGAAATTTTGTTTTCCCAAGAAACTTTTCTGAAAATAAGTTCATTTTCTGTGTATTTTTGTCTTTTTTTAAACTCAGAAATTTCCAGATTTTTTCCTTGAAAAAGTAAAATATGTTTATATTGCACCTTTTGCAGTTTGAAAAACACAAAGTGCTTCACAAAGTAAGAACACAGATGTGACATAAAACCAAATATAAATTAAAATGCAGCTGAAGACAAATTTATTCAGATTGGCAAAAGAATTAAGCTGCATTCCAGTCTGGGGAGATTAATCTCAAAATTTCTGAGTTGCTTTCAGAAATTTGCTCCTTGTTTTTATGTACAGTCATGGCCCTAATACGCCATCGTAAATTTGGATCTAAGCAAAAGATAGAAATGAATTTAACCTTAATTTATTTCTCAAATTAAATGGTAAAACTACATTTTCAGAAAGCTGGGTTTAAAAGCTCCTGCAGTCAGGAAATCACTAAATGTGTCCTGATGTTTTAAATAAAGCCCAAAAGCAGAAAGCTGGAGGAAAATGTGTTTTTTTTTAATGAAGGAAAAATAATTAGCTTGCAATCCAAATCAGAAGAAACTAGAGGAGCCAACGGGCAGCCAGAGATCTGGCAGAGCAGAAAAAGAGAAACGAAAAGCCGGGAGTTTAAATACACCGAGATGCAGGAGAAAATGGCACCAAAGGGTCTAGTCAAAGAAAATCAGGAACATTAGGAAATATTTAACAGTTGGTGCAGGAAAAAATCTGAACGTCAAACAAAACTAGTAATCTAATAAAACAAATCCAAAACCCAAACAATGAGAATTACAACTGAACACAAGAAATAAACACAAATGGTAAAATATAGGAAAAAAACAATGTTGTTTTAATAATTCCTTTTCCTTGATGTTGACAGAATAAGTGCTCGTTATACTGACAGATCATCTATAATCTGAGAAAAGTGTCTGATTATGAGTTAAATCTGCAGCTTTTTCATCGTTTTCAAAGAATAATTTAATTAAAACAAGCCTCTATATTTTGCTGAAAAGTTACTTTTAAGATAGTTTGTCTTATTTCAAGTTTGCCAAGATGTCTGAACTGGACTAAAAATACTTGGTAAGATTTGAAGTTTTTCAGACTTTTTTGGGTTTTTTATTGTTGCTGATACAAATAAACCTGGTTGATTGACTTAAAGGATTAATTATGTGTAAAATGAAACACTTTGATGAAAGTGATGCTTGTGCATGCTCAGATAAAGCCGGACAGGTGTTTTAATAAAAACCTCCACAGGGTGACGGCTCTGATGAGAACATTCCCAAACAGAGAGTCGCCTGTTTCCTCCATAAAAGGGAAGTTAAAGCGGGCAGGTGGTCCGGGTCGCGCTCCGCCACCTGTTTCTCAGCTCCACCAGATGCTTCGCTGCGCGGCCGGGACTCCTCTCAGCCAGGAATCGGCTCCTATTTATTACCGGCCCCACGAGGTTGGAGTGGAAGTGTGAGCGCTCATCCTCCGCAGGCAGTGGGAGGTGTTTCATTACCGGCGACACGCAGCAGAGAAAAGCCGCTGAATTTCACCAGAATATCACCTTCAGAAGCCAGAGAAGACAGGAGGAGCTCAGGACTGCAGCTATGACTCCACTGAAACAGCACAGAGCTAATAAACACACCGATTTTCAGCCAAATGGATGCATCTGGATGTAGTTTAATATCTTTAAATAGTTCATTTATTTCACTCATTTAAATTAAAAGCTTGTATATTATGACACAGATTGATTTATTTCTCTTAGTTTTGATGATTGTGATCTAAAGCTGATTAAAATCTAAAATTTATCACCTTAGAAAATGTTAATATCATTAGAGACCAATAAAAACATTGGAAAGTTGAGAGGAAGGAAAAAGTGTTGTTGAAAAAGGTGAATAGGTAATAGGGATTAGAGGAGACCTGAAGAACACAGACAGGGGTGCATTTATTTTAAAACAGAGGTTTGTTTAGTATGATGGATGGACAGATGGTCCATCCATCCATCCATCCATCCATCCATCCATCCATCCATCCATCCATCCATCCATCCATCCATCCATCCAAACTCAGGGATTAAATAAATATATTTTTACTTTAATAGAATAATAATAATAGCTACTGCAGACTGAGACTCGCTTCCTGTCATTCAGGCTAAAGAACTGTTCAAAAGAATCGGATTGTTCCTGAACGCCACATCACAAATCTGAAAACTATTAATAAAAAAAAAATGCCTTTAAAGTATCTCTGCACTCTGAATTCACAAGTTTTTTTTTCTTTTTGAATTAAACTGAACCAAGTATTTTACATGTGGACAGGCTCCGTCTACCAGGACGGAGGTAGACGTCTGTTCGTCTTTTCTTTGGCTGAGCTGCACTGAAACGAATGTCGTTGTGCTTCAGTAAAAGCTGATTTTGATTCTGTATCGATTTTATTTACCTCAGATGTGACTGTCCTAAAATAAATCACTTCACAGTCCGGTCCATCGCTGAAGCTCACTGCTCGGACTGTCTGACTCTGTTTGGAAGCGGCAGAGTGAAATAATTTGCTTTTCATTTTGATGTTGGTTAAATTCACTGAGGAGTTTTTACACTGAGGCAGAAAAAAAACAAAGAGAAAACATCAATATTCCTCCATTAAGTTTTCCTTTTGTCCAGTCCAGCCTGGTTGAGCTGTTTTTTATCGAGTTATTTCAGGCAGAAGTCAGAAAATAACCGGGGTCTACTGAGGCTAATGTGGCCGTCATTAACCTACACGACCTTCATTACAGGAAGAGAGTCAGAAAAAAACATCAGCAAGCGAGAAATTCACTGTTTATGTGCAAAATGGCATGATGGGAAATTATTCTGAGGTCAGATGTCACATCCAACCAACCATCCAACCAACCAGCCAACCAACCATCCATCCATCCATCCATCCATCCAGTTAAATTCTTGGGCCAAATTTCCTCTACATCAGTTCTGGAAAAATACATAATTTCTGAGTTTTAACAAGAAAGATTTGGTTATGAACTTCAGAAATGATTCCAATCTGATCTGAAGAGACAAAAACAAAACGAATCCACACTGTCATTATTTATCGACCACAGATAAAACTGAAAAACTTTGGAAAACCAACTTCATTCATCAAAAACCTGAATGTTGGATCAGAGAAACAAAATGTTTCAGTTTCTAAAGGTTCAAATTCATCATCAGTTGATTTAGGTGGTGAGAAACAACAGTGTGTGTTTTGTCCTGTGTGTAAGTTTATGAGTGCAAATACAACGTGGAGGTCACTGTTCCAATGAACATCTATTTTCTAATTTAATTAATTTTGCGGTGATGTGTTGCGAGGTCGTATGTAACCAAGGTGAAGCTGGAGGACGGACGCTCCCCGCCTGAAGGACGGAGACAGAAACAGCTGTCGCTTTTTATGACAAACTTTAAATTTGTTTTCTATGGTTGGAAAAAACAGAAAACATTTTTTGTTTCTCTAAGAGAAAGTGACTAATATGACAGAATATTAATGTGCTGCATGCGAAGCCGTCTTGGAGCTTGTTTGGATTTTCATTATATTTAGAAACAAAATAAAATTAAAAAGTTAAAAATATTTAAAATCACGCAGAATTTTAAATATAAACATTCTGCAGAAAAGGTTCAGAAATAGCAGCTGAGATGAGTTCAAAAAATATTTTTCTTCATCTGTTATTTAAAATAATGAAATTAAGACTCTGTGCAACGTAAGGGTTGATGGTTCCCAAAACCAGCATGAAGTTTAACATTTCCCCTTCATGTTAAACAGAAGAAAGATGTGGAGAAAACCCATAAAACCCAAAAACATCCCCACTGTTGTGCTTCCAGTCGGAGGAAGGAGTCAGGATGTGCATTTTGTTATCTGCTTTTCAGCCGCCGTCCCTCTCGCTGCCATAAACTTGATTCAATCTGTATTTTTCCGTTTAATAATAAAAGAGCGCTCCAGGAACAAAGTGGCATGTGACTTTCTGGATAATTTCTCCGGTTCATTTTCTCCTGCAGCTCTCTGAGCGTCCCTCCAATCTCTGCAGGAGTCGATCTCTCCCAGGCCGACCCCGGTAATCAATAGGGAGGCTGATATTACTGCGGGCTGCCGGTGAGTTATTCCTCCTCGCTGATGGAGGAGAGGGAGGATGAATCTGAGCAGTGGAGCGTTGGCTCAGGATTTGATCTCAGGAGGGACAGACTGAATGATTTTCTGAGATAATTCTGTCAGGAGAAGTTTGAGTGACACAACTGCATGTTAGAGTCTGAAGTGAAGATTTCAAGTCCTCCAACAAAACCCTGAGTGGAACTTTAACGAGTTAATTTAATGAAATAGATAGTAATGCGTGCTAAAAATGTTAACACAATTCATTTTGTATTTTACTTACAAAAATCCGGAGGTGGAACCTTTGTTGCACGTTTCTTGTGCGCCTGTAAATTTGACGCACAAGCAGCATCCGCTAACAGCAGCGATGAAAGTTTCACTGGGGATTAATATCTGCTTCAAAATTTGATTTGATTGGAAAAAGACTACTGTTGTGTTCGAGTCCCGCTAAAAGGAGTAAACATATCAGTGAAACCTAAAACATCATCTTAGTGCTAAACATGCAGCAGCTAACGTTAATGTTAGCATCCACGTTTCAAAAGAAGCTCCATGGATGACCAGAGCTTCCTGAACCTCTGGAAAGCTGAACTTTGCTCTAATATGATGATTAAATCACCTAAACAACAAATTAAAAACAATAAATGCTGTGGAGCTCATATGTTGTTGTTAAGCTGCAGTATGTAACTTATGTAAAACATTTTTTGTTAAAATTGTCTTTATATTTGACAGTTTAGTATGAAACACAATCGGTGACAAAAATTTATCTCCTCTGCCTTCTCCCAGTGCTAACTGGAAACAACCAGTCAGAGCCAGGAGGCGGGTCTTAGCGCTGTCAATCACCCTCCTCCTTTGCTCTCTGCTATGCTGCAGCTAGCATAGCATGTTGTGAATGCTCAGGCTTCTTAGCATAGCCACAAAGGAGCGAGTACATGAGGATGATAAACAGCATTAAGAACCGCCTCCTGGATGTGATTGGTTGTTATGGAGCGGTGCAGAAATGCAACTCAGGGAGAAAGTGGAGGAGATTATATGACTTATAACAAACTCAGTTTGTTGACAGTTTTAACAAATATATAAAATAATTTTCTTCATAAAAGTTACATACTGCAGGTTTGAGGGTTTTTGAATTCAGAATGTTGCCCATTTTGTCGATGTAGTTTTCAATTAATTACAGACCCTCCAATTAAAAATCTTAATCTTGTCCCACCAGTAGCTATAGCTGTGTGTTTTGATGTTTTAGTTTCTACAAAATAGAAGTTGAAGATCTGCATCTAGTTCAAATAATTTCCTGGTCTAATTCTGATCCTGCAGGATTAAAAAAAATCTGATTTCAACAAAAGAAAATCATAATTCAACATCAACAGCTGCCTTTCTCTGTCAGTGCAGTTAAGCTGAAGAGCATCCAGCCTTTCCAACAGTTTGAGTGAAACTTTTTAAGTCATTATCCCTCCCAGCAGCTGCGTCTGTTTTTGTTTCTGTAGATGTTTTCCAGTCTGAGATAAGCCTTCCTCTTGGTCTTCCTCGGCTCCAGCAGGAGCATCAGCTCCTGAATCACCGCGGCTTTTTGTCAGACACAAACGATCTTGTTCCCCTCAGCTGGCAGCAGAGAGTGAGGACAGATACGATGTAAAGCACAGACACCAGATTAAGTTTGGGATTAGCCATCGATCCTTCATGCAAACACACATTCTTCTCCTCCAACCTCCGAGGCGTCGTTTAATCTCTCCGCTGCAAACCTGGCTCTGAGACGCGTCTCTCTGAGCACAAACAGACACAAAAAGATTTACTAATGAATCTGTCCTGCTCTCTGAGGGCCGATAAGGACAGGAAGTTATAATTGAAACTGACCAATCAGCTGTCTGCCAGACTCAGATTTTCAGATAAGGAAGTAAAGGTTTACCAGAAATCAGGACCAGACAAAGAAACGCTTCGTTTCAATTACAAGTTCATAAAAATCATGTTTGTTTCAGTTTTAGTCTAATTAAACGCCATTTGACTCTCCTTGTGTTTGACTAGATGATTCAACAAAACTTTAAATGGATTAGCAGGACATTATCAGAGCAGATTTAAATTCTATGTAAAATGTTATTTAGCTGGACTGCTGCAATGTTTAATGGATTTTATTTGGATCTAGATTTTTATTGGTTTAACTTCAAGATTATTGAACAGAAGCTAATTTAAATTAAGTTATGCTTTAATTCAGAAAATATTTTTTCTGACTGGTTTAAACTGGATTTTTCACTTTCTTGGCCTGAATGTGACCCATATCTGACCGGAGGTCTGAACATCCCAAATCCGATCTTTTCACCAGAAAATAAATCTGATTTGCGCCACATTATATATGGAATTCTGTGTCCAATTGATTGCAAAATATCTGAAAGGTGCTGTAACATTTTATCCAACTTTTACGTAATCGACGCAAGACATGCGTCATAATTCTGCACCAATTTTCCCAAAAGTAGCCTCCCCAAAGCATAAGTGGCTTTTGCTCCAAGTCCCGTCGTCTCCTCTGATGGCTGAGTTGAGATGGCTGCATGTAACCTCATAACTGTTTCATCCATGGTTTTTAATGACTTACTGCGTGAACAAGATTATTCACGCATATTTCATTCATATTTAATTTCTTATTTAATGAAAACACGACGTAAAAACGAAATTGTGTTTGTTCGAGTTTGGCAGAAAATAGACAAAGATTTGCACACATTTAAATGGAAACCACAGCATAATCTTACCTTTCCTGACTCCACATCCACAGATTTCTCGCCGGAAGCTGCAGTCAACACTACGCTAAAGGCCGTTACTGTTCCCTTTTTTAACTTAATAATAATTTTTGTTTGTTTGTTTACTTCATTTTGTTATAATCTTCTGACAAGGCTGTCAGCTCTGAATAACTAAAAATAGATTCGTAAACCGCGCGCCCATTGTTACTTCCGTAAACAAAGCGTTGCTGTGTGACGTCATGGTTCGTCTTCTGCGCATGCGGGTCTCTTCATTGGATGCAGCTGAGCTAATCAGGGGGATTTGGACCAGGTGTGAAGGAGAACGAAAGGTGAATAATATAATACCAGCCAACTGCTTTCTAAAGATAATTATCTCAGAGAAATGAACTGAAAACTTAAAACACAGCAAATAATAATAAAAAAGCAAAACCAAAACACCCAGGATCATAATATTTAATAAGATACCAGATTTAATTTGGGGGTGCTTTGTAGTTAATTACATTTTAGTGAGACAACAAAATCAGATTTATTTAATCAGGATGAATTTTTATTAGACTTTTTTAGTTGATTCATAAGTTCAGTAACTTACTAATGTTGAGACATTTGAAAGTTTTTGTCAGTTGATGTTCTTGTTAACTTGGTCAAAAGAATATTATATTTAAGATCTGTGATAGATAAAGAAGATAAAATTACATTAAACCTACTCATTTCACTTGTGTGAAACCTGTTGACAAACTTGAATTTAGTTAACTAGAAAAAACGTATTAATAAACTTATCAGTTGGTGGAAATCAAGTAATGTAATTTGTTTACGCTGAGTGAAAAAATGTAAAATAAGTTCAATAAAAGAGTGTTTGCTTTGTTAAACTAACAAGTTTTAGTTAGTTGATTTAACTCTTGTCTGAAGTGACTTGAAGTAGCCAGTTAATTTATGAATTTATGTTAGTTAAACATAAATTCATAAAGGCAGATTAATATATATGTTTTGCTTTCACTTAACAAAATGATGTGAAACCTGTTGAAAAGAAAAAGATTATAAGTCAATGACTTATTTCTTTGAGTATGACAAAATAAACCTGAATGAAAAGCGTTTTTAAACATCAGGATGGAAAAACTTTCTGTCTTCCTTTAGCTGCCAAAGATTCATCGTCAGAAAGCTGGAAGCAGAAAGAAAAGAAGCTGAATAAAACATAAAGTCACAAAGCAGCCGGACCGGCACGGACATGCAGACGCTTCCTACAGGTGCAAATTTATGGTAGGTTTCCTCCCTTTCACATCCCTCCTGACACCTTCATTACAAAGTAAAATAACTCAGAAATTGGACTTTTCCTTCTTCCGTGGATCAGGTCGCTGGATGTTGTTAGAAAGTGAGGACGAGGTTTTAAATAACAAGGTCCAAGTCAACGCCAAACTAATCCTGGCACATGAGAGATGGGCGCTCAGAAGAGAGGGATGACCAGGAGTCACTGCGGAGGCTCCGGGTTCTGAATCAGATCCGGCCCCGAGGCGGAGGGGCCCCGCTGAATTTCAATTCAGGCTCAAAGGATTAAAGAGCCAACGACTCCTCCACTAAGAAGACTCAGTTTAACTGACAGACAGCCGTGGAAATCCACAAAACACAGGGCCGAAATGTTGCAAATCAGTAAGATCGGTTTTAATCGGACAAAAATGACCTCAAGAAGTGCAAAATATGGGGTTCCATTAGAGCCAAAAGCATTTTTATGTGTTTATGTAAGGTATATATCTTGAGTTTTATTTGGTGGTGGCTCTTTGTCTAATTCAGTGAGTGTTATAGAGTATTTGGTAGTTTTTATTAGTAATCATTAGTGTAATATTGTTTTGCTTTAGTTACAATTTTAGTACTTTTTTCATATTTTGGTTAAAATGACATTGGTTGGCATGTTTTCCTTCATTCTTATAGCTTCATATGAAGTCAGGTTATCCAAACTGTCAAACATGTATAGAAATATGGAACAAATCGCAACATTTAACAGCCAAATACGGGGCAATTCTGTATTTTAGGAATGGGTGGCAACCCTATAACACAAGTAGAAGATCTGCATCTGGTTTAAATCATTTGCAGGTTTCCTTCGACGCCTGTTCAGAAACAACAGAAGTCGCGTTTAGTTTCTGTTCAGGAAGTAAAAGAGTTGCCTTTAGATTGAGGATTTCGGTTCTGTCAGCTGAAAGTGAGAAAAGACGGAGCGTACATCCGTCCCCTTCCTTTCCTCCCGCTCTGCCAGGCGGCGGCCATCAGTCAGCCGTCCTCCGCCGTAAAGGCCGACTCTCCGCCCGCACAGAGGCGAGGATGCAGATTTACAACTTCAGCCTTTCTGTCCAAACTTCACCCTCCTTCCCTTCATCAGGCGCGCTGATCCGTGAAAGTTTAGCGAGGCAAATCGACGGGATAAACCAGAAACATGCCTAATTGGTTTGTGCCTCGCTGTGATAATAGATTAAAATCTAGTGGATTGAAAACATTGGGGTTTTAGTCAAAAGAGAAATTTTGATGGACCAATTGTGAATTCAAATATGTTTTATGTTTCTACATAAAAGTTTTCAGGATGAAACTTCCTGTTGAAAATAAATAAATACATTTATTTTTCAATTAAAAAGCAAATAAATTTATATATAAATTTATAAATAAATAAATAAATAAATCTCCAGGTCTTCCTTGAAGAATTTTCTACTACATATAAGAAAGAGATTTATTTTGAATCAACTTAAAGGCTGATTAACCTACCAATTAAAGATTATAAGAGGAATTTGGCGATGCTAAAACTGCATAACATTTTCACTTCTTTCTATAGTTTGTCAAATTGTTACACATTGGACCCTCGGTATTAGCGGGAGTTAACGTCTACCTACAAATAAAATCCATTCATGCTTTAGATCCTCTCAGAACACCAAACATTAATACACTTTAATTGATACTGCAGAAGCTAACATCTACAATTTTCCATATTTTTACTCTTTGGGGTTCAGCCAATCAGCGCCAAGGAAAATAAATGACGCTTTTGGATTGGCTGCTTTGCTTTAGCGTCAAGTAGTGTTGCGTTGAGGTATTTTAGCTCCCCACGCTACATTTTCTTTCAAATATTTCAGATGTATTCCATAAAACAATACTGTTTAGAAAGATGCGTTTTGTTCCACTTCTCACCTGTAAACAACATACTGCAGCTTTAACACCTGATGAAAGTCTGAAACATCAGGAGATCCTGCAGCTGGTTTACGTTTCACACGCGGCCCACCGGCTCTGTTCCAGTTTCAGCTGAGAGAAGGGGTCAGATCTTCAGATGACCTTCAGGCTGAACGCATGAATCAAGTCCGAGTGGGCAGAGACAAGACGGAGCGTCAGGTTCTGACACCGGAGTCCCATTTCACCTGAGAAGCAGCTCGTCTGAGCAGGTGTGAAATTAAATCATGACGGACGTGATTTACAGTCAGAGAGCAGAAGAGCCGCCATGACGACAGAGAGAGAGAGAGAGAGGGAGAGAGAGAGACGTGTGGAGTCAATTCACACGATCACTGATAAACTTCCAGACACAAGTTACAAGAATTATTAGTCATTTATGTTCATTTAAAGGAAGGAAGGAAACAAGAGATGGAGGAATGAATGAATGAATGAATGAATGAGTTTATATATTTATTCCAGCTTCATTTCACATCTTAAAAACTTTATTTGCAGAATAATGAGTTATTCTGTATTTTTTTTTAAAACGGAGCCTATAAAATGGGTGAAAAACGTGGAGGTGACCTTCTGAGTGGAAGTGATTTAGGTTTGGGTGCTGATATGAGCGGCTGCTGGATGCCGATACAGACCAAATGTTTGATTAGCAGGAGGGGAAACATTTCAGCAGCGGGCTGAATAACCTGCAGGTTACTGGCGGCTACCGCCAGAAAATATGGACAACATTTACGGAAATAAACTAGTGCAAACATTATGCTGCAGGGAAATGTTAAGAAACAAGGAGCAGCTAGCTGGATTTTATTCAATATTACAAAAAAGTCAGCAATGGTTGAACAAAATGTGTTTTTAGATTTAGATGCAGTATAAATATGCCACAGTAGGCAATAAATTTAGGCATCAATCTGACCTTCCCAGGTGAATCAGAGAAGCTGCAGCTCTCTATACTGAGTGTTTGAGCCCAATAATGTGATAAACTCAGTTAAACCCAAAGCTAAGCAGAATCTGCAACTGTTCTGAGAGTGAAGTTAATGACTAATGAATTATTAAAGAGCTGTCTGCTGTTATGATCCAAGAGGTTGTTAAATCTGTTCTGTTTGCTGGAGCACAAATAGCTCCCCCCTTTTCAAGATAACACTGGCAGCATTTATGTGGGAATGTGAGGCTGACTACAGATTATTTCCTTTAGTTATTTCCAGAATGTTTGGAAACTGATCTTTTCTAGATAAGTTTCTAAAAACACTGATTAAATTTTCGTTAGCCAGCAAAGTAACAACTAATGAGCTTCAAGCAGTTTTCATAATCGATATGATTCAATTTGGGACCAAAACGGCAGCATTTGTTGCATTTCCTTATGCTGTGGTTCACTGAGTCAAACCTGCCAAACCCTTTGCGAAACCTGTTCCCCTCCTGGCCTGTGGGGGCGCTGCACCAAGAACCACTGATGGAAACGACACGAAAACCTCAGAAAAAGACACTGAAATGGAGCGTCGTCAGATTTCTGCAGTTGTAAGTTTTCTCTTTTGTCTTTTATGATGACTTAATAAGATCAGTGTATATAGAAAAAAAATCAGCAAAAAACTCTTTAGATTAATCCCTGAAGTTTAAAAAAAAACAAGGAAAATTTAAAGCACCAAAAGTAAATTCTTTTGGTATAATCCTAGAAAATTTCTGAGTCTAATGTCAACATTTCTGACTTTTGAAACACAGAAATGTCAGAGTTTTACTAGAAATTTTCTGAGTTTTTTTTCTTGTAAATTTTTGAGGTTATGGAGGAAGTTTACTCCAGAAACATAATTTAATCATCACATCAACACGTCTGAGCCAAGAAAATAAAATAAAAAAACACACAAATAACTTAAAATTAAGCAAATAAAGCAGTCAGATTATTTTTTTTGTATGAAATAGATTTTATTCATCATAGATCCCAAAGTGAAAAAATATTTTTTTCTACTCTTTCAAAAGAAAGGAATCTAGTTTTCAGTTTATTTTTCAATCAATCAAACGAATTAATTCACAGTTATAAATCAGGATTTGGTCA